AAAAATCACCACATAGAGTCTTTCAAGTCTCTGTAGATATAACAAACACAGAAATAAATAATGCAAAATAAATTGTAGCTATGCGTCAATTCCATGCGGCACATCCAAACATGTAAGCCGAACAATAGTGTGGGGGGGAGTGAGTAATCAAGAGTTGCGTGGCGCTCAAACAAAAGATGAATAGACGAAATTTGAAAATTGCGTAACTCCGGGTTTGCATAAGTCGGGGTAGCATAAGTCGAGGTATTACTGTACAGGAGCTCCCCTACTTATGAGCATTCAACTTATGAACAATTTGACCATATGTGTAAAATTTAAATTTTGTGCAGTTTTTGTAGATCTTTTGATGCTGGTGGGTGGTATTGAAGTCAGTCTTTGACCAGTTGTAAATAATTAATGTTTGCAATTGTTTCTATTGCTTATCATCATTCTTTGTTTTTGCACAAATTCTGACATTCCATTGCTGCTCATCAGATGGTATTGAAGTTTGTAACATTAGAGTAACGGTGTTTATCATTATTGTTTGCAATTTTTATAAATTTTTACGATTAGTGCATCAAAAATGTGTCCAAAACATAATAGTAAATCTAACAATGGAGATAAATGCAAGCAGTGTCACTGTTTTACCATGAAAACTAAATTTGGTATTATAAAATTAAGTATGTTAGGTAAAAGTAACTGCATTTGAAACATCCACTACCAAGCAGTAGTAAGTGGGTAAACAGGTACAAAGTATTCTATATAAGTACAGTACATTGAAGGATCAAACACTAACAATACATGATGATTCTGTGTACTGTACAAATGTTCTTTCTATGTTAGTTTTTGACTTACAATAATACCTTGAAAACCTAACCTGTTTGTAAGTAGGGGAGCACCTGAAGTAATTTATCCATTCCTCAGATTCATTCATAGTATATTATGCCCAACTCCAACAAATAACAACAGTTTTAATGTGGTGTACAGAGATACTACACATTAGGATTTCCACATCATATTTTAGTTGTGTTATTATTTTAAATGAACTATTGAGTTTACTCTACCTTTGTGACAAACTCTGTTCTGTGTTCTTGCTGAATGAGTAAGTGAATGTATTCTTGAACAAAAAACAGAAGATATACATGGAATAATTACAGTAAAAAAAATGTGGAAAGCAGAAAGCCACAAATTTCAGGAAGACAGAGAAAGTAGAAGAAACAGATGATTGACTCAAATGGTACAAAAATATACTTTTTACAGACTTCCTGATAATGTAATTGAAGAACATGAAATTTATTTAATTGTTTAGGGCAATAAACTTCCATGCAACTTATACACGTAAACATTTACAAAGCAGATTCTGTTCTTCCTACTCCTTTGAAATTGTTATAAACTGTATTTTGTAATGATAAAGCCACCATAAAAACTACTTTAGTATTTTTTTCTCCAGGAACAGTATTTTGTCCATTATCTCTTCATTCAAAAAATGAATTTTACAACCAATTCCTTCAAAACATGTTTTGTCTGAAATAAAAATCATTTTTTAAACAGTTTACCCACCTCAATATTTCTAAATTAACAATTTAGGTTTACGTTATATTATACATACAGTATGTATATTCTTGAAAATTCTATGATAGGTCATTTGTATACCTTTATAATCAGTCAATAAAATTTCCGATATGGATTATACATCATATGTCATTATCTAGCCATAACAAAATTTTATTCAGTTAGTGTCTTCATTATAGTTTTTGGTAAACACTTGGTGATTCTACTAGTAATTTATAGAATAATTAAAATTATTTCAGTTTGCTGTAAATATAAATCTTGTATTACAAACGAAATATCATATAATAACTATTAAATCAACTCTACTTTAAATCAATTAAATTTATTAAAATAACATTTATCTAATAATTTCAAACTTTTGTGTTTTTATATTAAGCTTGTTTTTTTTCAAAACAAGATTCTTATCTTTGATGACATATGCTATAACTTCATTTGAGCAATCTTTGAGCTGACTGTATTGCAAGTCATTTATTATACTTTAAGACTAATTAATAATTTTAATTATTGTTGAAGTGTTTTTATATGAATATTAACTGAAGCTAAATTTTTCAAGTGCCAACTGATATTTCATTTATTTACAAAGCTTTACTTATTCTTACAAGATTCAAAAGCAGTCCATCAGCTGAACAATTTTACTGATGAAATTGTTGAAATTCTTTCTGGTAGTTTCAACAATATGCATTTATAAAAAAACAGCCTCATTAATTGATTTAAAAAAGCCAAAGATATTTATAATAATTTATGGAAAATGACTTGATAAAAAAGTTCTCCTTGAACTGAAAGATATCAATATAAACTATTAATGTTACATATAAAACATAGTCCTAATGTTTTCTAATGTTTGTTATATCAGCCAGAACATTACAAAAAACATACTAGATAATTTCTCATTAATTATATCAAATGTTCTTGTTATCATAACTGTTTAACAATTGAGAATTCATAAGAATATTTATTTAAGCTTTGTCTTTTTAGTATATTGCTAAATATTTTTATGTCATTCTTTTCCCATGAATCTAATATCCCTATCTATCTATATAACCCATTGAACGCGTGTCCGTCCATCTACATAACGCCAAAAACAAGCACTAGAGGCACCCTAGCAATGATTTTAAATTAACAATAAATTATTTTTATTTGTAATAGGAATTTATTATTGATATGAATTTATTATTTATACCACGGAATGGTATAAATAATTATTATATGCCTTCATTAACCTTGTGCCGCATGTTTACAACATCCCGTGACTCACAAGTCAGTAAATGTTGCGCATTGACTCACAGGAAATTTGTCGAAAAAATGTCAGATACATTTAAAATCGAGGTTTACAACCAAAGGTAAATAAACAAATTAAACTGTTTTAAAGTTTTATAGGATGTTTAACTGATAGAAATATAGATCCGTATGACGCAACTGGGACTTTAACAGAGCTGTAGAGCATATTGATAGGAACAAAAAAGTCAAAGGAGCCGTGCCTCATGGGAATTTGTAAAGAACGCCCACTAGGGGGCATCCCGGGCTACTAGTCTTTAATAAATTAAAACCTTTCAAATTTATTTCATACAGATGATATGAAATTATTCATTCTCTGATTGGTAACAACATAAGTTAGATATGTTTTAGCAATACAGTAGTGCCTTGTACTGTACTTCAAATTTAATTCATTCCAGGAGGCCATTCAAAGTCTGAAGCAATTTTTCCCATTAGAAATAATGAAAGTAAATTAATTTATTCCCAGACCCTAAACAAAACCTATTTGGATAAACTTAAAACAACAAATACACATAATTTAAAGTAAAAATAACATAATAAAATGCCCTAATAATAAATTTAAACACAAAAACAATAAATAAAAAATATAAATACTGTATAATCAAATGAAAATTACATTTATTGGTCACACACATTGACTTCCACATCTTAAATATGGCTGCTAAAGCTGCCACATATGTACCACTTACATGCTTCATGATAAGTACCTTTTTCATCTGAATCATCAATATTACAACCTTCCTCTTACTTGTTAACTTTGTTGCTTCCACACACTTTTCAGATGCCATGATTAATTAATAAGTAAAAATGATATTGAGTTGGACAGAAAGTTTTTGCATATTGTTAATAGTTGTTGCTATTTAATATAGATGTGTAATTTAATTATAAGAGTTGTGAAACTTAATGCATTACTGCTAATTTGAGATTGTATTCTTTGTTCAGAAGCTTATCTTACATTTTGAGTGCATTTTTCACTGCTCATGCAATTAGAAGCATATTTTTGTCGAATTTAACTTTCATACTCTGAAGTGTTTGAAGTTAATCATTGGAAGTGAAGGTATCACTGTAATCAATTATCTTCCAATTCATATCCATAAAACTAAAAGAAAAAATTCTAATTTCTTAAATGATCTAAATAAACCCCAAGTAAACTTTCCTGAAATAATAATCTTACTTAAATTATAGATTCCCAATGTACCTTAGACTAATAATAATATATAATAACTATTAAGAAAAATTTCCATAGAACTAAAATAAATCAACTAAAAGTTTTTCTTCACATGAGAATTACTTATTAAACTAAAAGTAAGCAAACTGAATAAACAGAATTTCATATTTATCATCATCAGTTAATCTTTTTTATCATAAAAAATTATTTAATTATATTAAGAAAAAATGATCAACACTATCCCTCTGTTTAATATTGATAGAAGTGATTACTGCCTAAATAGAATACATTTAATTGCAAAAATATCAATATAATGGATATTAATTTTATATATTCCATTTAATCATACTAACTTTTTTAATATAGTTAAGTTTATTTTAATTTCTTAAATATAGTAATATATTAATAATTTGTTTAAATATTCATCATAAATGTTAAATTATGTTAAACAAAAAGCTAAATTTTTAACTCATTACAGTTGCTATATCAAATATCTTTTAAAAAACTAATCTGTTGAATTTGCAGTCTCAGAGTATCTGCAGAAGCAAATGGTCATAAAAATAATGTGAAAAAATTAAGTTTTATTTAATATGTTATAGGTTTGTTGTGTTTTTTGTTATTTATCTACTTAATAAAAACAAATTTTTATAAAATCAAACTATTATTGTTGAAGTTGATATTAAATTGGAGTTAATTACAATAATTACATATATAATTATCTAATTAAATGCTTTTATTTGATTTTGAAAGTTGCTTTTTATAAATATGAAACTATGTAAATTCAGCCACTTCTAAAATAAAATAACCATATATATGTAATCATCATAATGATGTTTATTTCAGCACTGAATATTTATGTCTTTTAATCTAAAGTATCTTTTACAATTATTCAAATACTTCATATAAAACATTTTAATATAATTTGCAAAAAAATGAGAAATTACAGATGTATAAAAATGTGTTTTGATGTCAAAATACAACATATACATAAAAAAATTATACTTACTTAGACTGACAATTTTAATTGGAATATTCAATCTTTGTCTAGTACTTGGAGAAAGTTTCAAAAGACCATATTCTAAGGAATATTCAACTATGTACTCTTCTTGAGGCCAAACTATAAATTAAAAATGAAAAGTTAAATTATTTTCCTGTTAAAAAATTTTTTATAAGCACAAATTTTTACAGCTTTTTAAACTTAACAAAAGCTTATACCTTATTCACAAAAAATATCAAAATTAAAATATCAATGAAAATTGGCAAATCAATTTTAATCAACACCTTAATTTTTATTATTTTTATTTAATTTAGAAATGATATTTTTAATGATTATTTCATTATATTAATCTGACAATTCTATAAATAGATAATTTAATATAAATTATCTATTATTTATATTAAATTATCTATTTATAGAATTGTCAGATTAATATGGTCAACATGGTCAGATTTTTTGAAAATTCATTATCATCCTAGAAGTTTATGTTTTATTGAAGATTACGGTTGTGAAAATGAATTTAATGGATATGGATGTGGTGTTGAAGTTTTCGATCGAGAAAATATGTATGATTTAATAGAAGATACCTTGAGGTATTTTTCCGAGGAATGTGATTATTTACAGGGTTTTCATGTTTTGATGGATGGTTATAATGGATTTACAGCTATAGCTAATGGCATTCTTGAACATTTGGAAGATAGTTATTCTAGCAAAATACATTTGTGTTTTCCAGTATATAATTCAGATTTCACATTATGGAGAAAGAAAAAAGTATCACATAATGACATTTGTCAATATTATAGCAGTCTCATGGGGTATAACAGTTTAGCAATGTATAGTCATCTTTTCTCACCACTTGATACAAATTCACATTTGTATTCTGGAAATCCTAATATAAATTTTCCTTATTTAAACTATAAGACTGAAATGAATTATCATACTAGTTCTGTATTGTCCATTGCATTGGATACTATTACTCTTCCCATGAGAATGAAGTCAAATGCCATTCATTTAAATGAAATGATCAGTTCTTTAACGATTCTTGGGCAGAAGCTTATTCCTCTGGCACTATGTACACCAATTCCTGTTGAAGACCATTCCTATCTAAATGATGTTTTAAATAGTTCAAATAATGTGAACTTAGTTCCACTTACTCCTTGCTGCAATATTGAAGAATTTGATATAATTTCTCAATTTATCAATATTCGTGGTTTACCTGAATCAAAATTTTTTAATAGCCATTTAAAACAGAATATAAAAATGACAGTTGAAAAAGTTTTAGGTTACTTCTTACAATCATAGTATCCAAGTTCAATGAATTTCTGGAAAATATGTCATGAGCCTTACAAAACAACAGCTCCATTTCCTCATATATTTAATTCAAAAATTAATGTTAGAGGGTACATAGGAAGTTCACACAGAACAGTTGGAACAGGTGTTGAAAGCATTTCTGCAATATCAGGATTTCATAATACTAAGAATGCATCTGACTCAATAAATGTTTTGTTGCAATCGACAGATAAATCAAAATTAAAAAATTTTTCATGCAAAGAGACAGGAGTAGAATCTGATGATTTCGAAGAAGCCTTAGAAAATTTAAAGTTTTAGTTGATTGTTATAAAGACAGATAATAACTGTTTAAATATCAAATTAATTTTGCTTTTATAAAATACAGTAGAGCCTCGATTATCTGACCCAATTGGGGACTGGGGTTGGTTGGATAATTGAAAAGTCGGATAACCGAAAAGTATGAAAAAATCCATTATTAGTGTAGTATATTATTATATCCCATGTAATTAGTATATTAGTATATCGCTATTAACCTACTTCGTGTTGAATTTTCATCGATGTTAAGCCTAACAAAAATTTTTTAAAATAATAATCGTCGCTATTGTATCGTTAAAAATTAGAAAATTAAGCCTCGTTTAAATACTAGCTCCCTTTCATGGTCGAATGAGTGTTGCCAGCTAAAACACGTAAAAATAATATTAAAGTAGCCAAGACATAGCCAAATATTGTAGCGCCACATCACTAGCGGATATTTGAAATTTGCCGACTAGGACGGTCGGTTAATCGAGGCTCTACTGTATTTTAAATTAAAATAAGCGTATACTTGTGACTTATTAAAAAGAAAAAGATATTCTTTTCTTTATATTTTTAGTAAAATCAGATAAGAAATAAATAAGAAATTTAATCTTTTTCCTTCTTAATTATTATTTTAAATACACTGCCTGACAGAAAATGCCATCCATAAAGAGGTAAACACAATGCCATGAAAATTGCAGGGATGTGCTATGTGAGTTATGCAAATGATTACATTTTGAGGCCAATCACATGAAGGGCATAGATGATATAAGCAGATAACCAGCCCATGAACCATTAGCTGAAATATCATCATGACATTAAAAAATGAGTTGCTTTGCTGATATTATGTCTGGCAAAGGAGCAAGGGATGCTAATGCCTTTGTGATGTCATTGTACTCAATTTTGCCAAACAGGATTTCACAAGAGGTTTCATCATATGCCTTTATACCACCAGTTGGTCCTTGTACAACATTGCAGAAGAAATGAAACATCAATGTCAGTCACATTTGGAGGCACTGCTCCCAGGAAGAAAAAGTGCAATGTTGTAGGGACCTAAGTACAGAAATGAATGTCTAAGTGCACAGATTAACACATCCAATGTCATGCTGTAGTGGACCCATAGTCCAGAATGGGTGGCATTTAGCAGGCTGTAAAAGAAACTTTGGATGCTCCGATACTGACATGGACAGTATCACACCAATTGGATGTGGCAGGTTTGCTGTCCAGCTGTCCATTGCAACATCTACCCTTAACAGTAAACCAATGTCATCACTGCTTGTAATAGTATCATACCAGAGCTGTGTGGGATGCCAAATGGAACAGTGTGGAGTCCAGTGCTTCTTTCTCTTCAGAACTCAGTACACTCTCGATTATCAGGGATGGTTGGGGAGTATCATCCCGATTAATGAAACTACTTATTAATCTGGTATTAATGTAACACTAACACAATCACATTTCTGTTTCACTAATGACAATTGCCATGTGAGAGTCTAAAGGCAATGAAGATCCCTCTGCCATTTTTAAGTGTCATCAACATGGAGTTGTGGTTCGGGGTACTATCAGCATCAATAACCACTCACTTCTAACATGCATTACAGGCATATTGATGGCATGCCACTGTGTAGAGGTGTTGCTATGGCATGTGGCATTAATGTAGGTCCCAAATGCACATTTCCAACAGGATAACACTGACGACATATAGCTCATATCAGTAAGAATGATTTGCAAGGTTTGTGACTGCTTCTTTGGCAGGCAGAATCCTCAATCTCTCTCTCCAATCAAGAATATGTGGGACATGTCTGAACATTGGGTGAATACCCTTCCAACTCCATGAAACAAAGATGATCTGTGGATTCAGATCAACACCACATGGTCCACAATACCTCAGGATATTAAGTGAACTCTCAATGAATCAATGCCACATTGGGTTCAACAATGTATTGTTCAAAATGGAAGCCCCACTCCCTATTGATCATCCTGCATATTCAGCCACTGGAACTTTGTCTCTATGTAAACAGTAAATTATCTGTTTGCATACAGCACTTACTTACCTATCTGTGAGTGCAAATGTTGTCTGTTTTTGAGCTTTCCTTCATGGTGTAGCATTTTCTCTGTTAGGCAGTGTATTTTTTTTCTCAATATATCAATTTCAATGTTTTCTATTTAACAAGAATTTCATAAAAGAAATTTTAAAATGCAATTTCATTTAAAATGGTAGATTTTAGATTTAAAAAATTATTACAGACAGATACTAGTATGCATTAAAAATATGAAAATACTAAAAGCATTAAATTATCTTATGGAATAAATACTTAAAGAATAAATTTTGGGTACATATATTTATATCTATCAATCCAAAAAACAATTATTATTGACGTCCTTTGGAATTTAAATTGTGAAGAGTGTCTCATCAATCTTGTGATGTTTATTTTTAATGATAATTGTTTTAGAGACAATTAAAACTTTTTACCCAAACAGATGGTATCTTTATAGGCTCTTGTATTAGATAAAAAATAGTTGATTTATGTACAAACACAGTGTACAACTTTATTTATAACTTTAAAGGATATTATTTTATAATAGAATAATAGATATGTTGATGATAGTTTAATCATTTATGACTCTCTTTTAACTAGTCCACAAATTTTTGACTGTACAAATAATATCAATCTGAATATTGTTTAATATATAGACTGAAGATAATAATCAAATAAACTTTCTAGACATACCTATTTTTATAAAACTTAATTCTCTGAAATTCAGTAAATAACGAAACCCTGTAATATCAAGAACATTATGAACTAATACTCTGAAGTTCTGATGTACATGAATAAGAATATTTTTAATATGTACATAAGAAAAATCAAAATGAGAACTAGTGACTGTGAGAAACAAACAGAAGAAATAATAGAAATCTGCAATATTTTAAATTTAAATTGTTATTCTAAACAACTAATTAACAACTTGCTTAACAATTTCACAATAAACAAATTAATATAAAAGAACTAATGTATATTAAAGTTTCATATGTACCATACATAATCTATTCAAAAACATTTCAGACCACTTGTTATTGCTTTAGCATCAAGCTTGCACAATACAATAATTAAAGTTAAATAATAATTTTGATAATACAAAAAATAAAAAAGATCTAGATTTATTAACCAATAATGTGATATATAAATTTTTTTGCAGTTGTTAACCACCTTTCTATTATGTTGGAGAAACAGGAAGACAACAGAAAATCAGACTGAGAGAACATATTCGTAAAATAAAATATAATTATACAAATTCTGCCATCACTGTCTACTGTGTTAAAGCCAGTTGTCAGATTTTACTAAATTATTCAGATGTTATTAAAAGAAAATGACACAAACATTTAAAAATTATAAAAATTTCAAGAGATTTTAAAATAAATTTAAATGATGGATTTTATTTCAAGTGAAATCTGGCAACACATTAATCTAATTGGAAAAGTCCATTAAAGTAAACCGCTATTTAACACTTCCATCCAGTATTGACTTTACTTACTTTATTAAAAGTGTAGAAAAAGTCAATCAGTGGTTTATGTACCCATTCTATAAGTTTTATAATTGATTTTATTTTTAATTTAAAAAAAAACTTTTTGAAAATATTTTTATCTTTTATCCTTTTTATTTATTTAATTTCATCTATAAATATCTATTAAATCAAATAATTTATGCAGGTAATTATTTATTTGTTGGTTTTAATCTCCTTTTTTTAAACTTCTTTTTTAAATTGCTTATTTTAATTCTTTTAATTTTTTTAAAAACATTTATTGTTTTACAAATCACAATAATTTTAAGTGATTTTATTTACCAGGTTTTAATTTTTCAAATTTTTCAAAAGTTTTATAAACTCTGGAATATCTTACATAGGTAAAACATTATTTTAGTTACTTAATATTTACTTTTTATACTTTTAACCCTTTCTTTTTCTATTTTAATTCATACTTTTAGGTTTTAGATCACATTTCAATATATAAAATCTGTAAGTTTGGTTACTTTCCTGGTAAATTTGTTTCAATTTTATTTTTTAGTTTTTTTAGTTAGTAGTTATTATATATTTAGTACTCATCATATTATGCCTTTTATTAGTTAAAATTAAACTTAAAAAATATTTTTTCCTTATGGCTTTACTCAGGACCAGTTTTTAAAAAAATTAAACAACAGCTAAAGAGTGATTTAGACCTGAAATGATTTCAAAAATAACAATTCAAGTGATTAATTTTGCCATGCTCTTTTAAACACACAACCTGTATAAGTCCTACATTTGTTGATTTTGAAATTTAAGAAGTACAACAATTGAATAGCACAAAAAGCTTTGAACACAACAGGGTAGGCATGTTGAGAAATTTTTCATGGATAGTCTGTACAGTCTTTCTCTTTTGATTCCCATTCTGGGCTCGATTAAACCCATAATGGATATGGAAAAATGCCATCTTAGTGTTCACAGGGCAAAGAAAAAAAAAATCTGCAGCTGCATAAGGAAGAGGCCCCAAGCATTATGGTTGCTTGTTGTGCATATATTATAAAAATATTTTTCTTGACCATCTATTTTGCTTATATTTTTTATTCTTATTCTTTTTACGAGTTATACAAACTTATGGGAGATGATTGTAGACCTTTATGTGGTTCTTCCCATGGGTTATGAAGTTGATACAAACTGTTAGTTGCAACTTTCAAATTGGTTAAAATACCATAATTAAAGATAAGAAGTCTAAAAGAGAGATTACTCATACTCTGATGAGACATGCTTTTCCCATCAAAAAAAAAAAAAAAAAAGACTAAACTTACAGAAAGTCTCTGTGAAGAGATTAATGATTACATGATTAAGAACAGAGATTGTAAACAAGTGTGAAAGAACATACAGGTATACCTCGACTTACGTCGTTTGTCAAAAAAGTATATGGAAAAATCAAAATCAAGTTTAAGTCATTTTATTCAACTTTACGTCTGTCCGCCACAAATATTGAAGTTGTAATATCACTAGAAAAATGTTTAAAGCACATAAAATCATATTAAAATATATACATTTACAAGTATGTACTGTATTTACAGAACATGCATTCGTAAATTTAGATTACTTTTTTCTGTACTATATTAAAAACTAAAATTTATTTGTTTGTAATCTTAAAATAGATTTTTATTAACCATATATTATTAAAAATGCATTAATAAATAAAATACAGAACCGGAATTGGCAATTTATGGTTTAGCCTAGTGACAAGTAGATTTGGAGACAAGTAAATTCGACTTACATCGTTTTTCGACTTAAGTCGTTCTCCTGGAACCAATTACCGACGTAAGGCGAGGTATACCTGTATATAGTATATATCACAAATCATCAATGTCCTTGCACAAAGCAATTAGTGTCATAAATCAGAAGCTTGAAAAATTACTATTCTACTAAAATCACCTGAAATCATAAGCTAAACTCAAGAAATTGCTAGGAGGAAAACAGAACTGAGATAAGATTTGAAAAGGAAAGTGCTGAATGTTACTGTTGGCTAATAAAAAAAATCCAGCAACGAGTTGCATAACTTTCCAACAATAAAGATAAAATTGTGTGGTGCCATTTGTTATGAGATTTTATTAAAATAAGTTTTTATATTATTAATTATTATAAAATGGCAAAAAGCTTAATTTTAAGAGTAGAGATGAGTTTTACAAAAAAAATTGTAAATGGTAACAACTTTTCTCATATTGCAACCCAATAAGGAGTAAAATTTTCATTAAGTCCAACCCCGTTTGAGATATGACACGACTTCCCAATATCCCCTACTCCCTCGACCCTTAATTATCAAAATTTAATGGCATCAATCACTTAATATCCAAACCTCTTTGCAAATTTTTAGAAATTTTCAACAAAGAGCATAAAAGTTAAGCTCCAAAGTGCATGAACAAAATCATGCTCCCCACACACACTAGTATCCAAATATCATTAATGTTATCAGCCCCAAAATATAAAATCCTTACTGAAGAAAAAGAAATACTGACCTAAAAGTCAAGAGAGTTTAGCAAAAAAACATAATACATGTAATGTCATAATTAAAGAAATTCTTAAGGAATTAAACAATGATGATGTAATAAGTTATCTGTACACTCAAAATAATTTCAAGGAAACAAGGAAAAATTTCAAGGAAAGGACTGAAGATGAATTCATAAACAAGTAAAACGGCAAGGCCATTTTTGGGACTTGGCTCGATTGCGCACTGTTTTCTAAGAAAAAGAGAAAAATAAGCACTAACCAATGAGGAAAAGCCAACACTGATACTCAGGGTCCTAGCTAGGGTTGCCCCCTGTCCGGGTTTGATCCGGAGACTCCGGGATTGAGTGAGTTATCTCTGGGCTCAATTAATATTTCTCCGGGTTGTGCAAGTTGAAATGAATATGTACAAAATTATATGCAAATCGTCGCATATATTTCTTCCCCTGTGTACCGAATTACTAGTGTGGTAGTCGTTAGCTTAAAGACATAACGTCTATAACTGGCATAGGCACAGTGCTGCTGCATGCTATGTAGATATGCTCTTTCTTGTGACTGTTCTGTCAAGAGATTTCTATTGAGAGTGAAATGATATAGCATACATAGCTGATAGTTTGATAATCAGTGTTCATGTTGATTGATGATTAATGATAAGTTATAGTATACTGTATATGTATGCATATGGGTTTTTTTTGTTTCTTAAATCATCGTCTCCGGGTGAGACTAAGTTCTGAGGTGGCAACCCTAGTCCTAGCATAGATTACAGCAGGCTTCGTTGCCACCATGGTTACAATGGGTTGCATTGTCACAGGCCTATTATTGGCTATAGTAAGCCAGAAGATATCTGTACCCGAATTGTCCCGATGCTCTCGTCATTTTGCCATCCTGCAAAACGATGAGAGCAAGAGAATACACACACGTGTCATACATTTGTCAAAATTCGATTTTGCAACATTCACATTTCAAATTCCCAACTAGTACGAGATTTGTGCACGAGCAACACGTGCACAAATCTGTTTGTAGAAACAATGTTGCCATTTTGTATTTTATTTTGACTCAGTTCTCAGTCCCATGACTACCTACAAATCTAGTTTTTTTATGTGTGCATGATTTGGGCACCAAATACTCTGTGCAAATTGCAACTCCTAACACATACCGTGTTTCCCCGAAAATAAGACAGTGTCTTATATTAATTTTTGCTCTGAAAAATGTGCTAGGTCTTATTTTCAGGAAATGCCTTATTTTTTCCAGGAAGAAGAATTCACATTTATTATTGAACAAAAAAACGCCCAAGTCGAACTTAGACGAGAGTGACGTATATCCGGTGTGAACTGTCGCCTTTTTATAGCGTCAACATGGGACTCGATGACCAATTAGTGCTTACTGAACCGTAGCACTATGCAAATGTCATGTGGCATGATTCCCGGCCAACCAATTAGCCATCACCAGCCGTAACGTTATGCAAATCTGTGATTCCCAAGCCATAGTCTTATGCAAATCATGCCGTGTGGCATAACTGTCTGCTGACCAATCAGTGGCTGTACTTTCAAAAAGCCAACGGCCACTTTCAACCATCTGTCGATGACCGTTACGACTAAAAAAAAACTTTGCTAGGTCTTACTTTCAGGGGGAGGTCTTATATTTCGCAATTCAGCAAAATCTGTGCTAGGTCTTATTTTCGGGGAAACACGGTACCTCTAAGGTGTCCAGCCGTTGACGGCAGCACGATTTTATAGACAAGGAACAATCTTGTCAATAAGTGCTGCCCAAAATTCCAGATAGACAGAAAGCACAGAAGTATCATGTAACACAGGGATCATGTAAAAACTATAGTGATCAATATAAAAATTTCAATAATAAAAAGATCTTTCAAGTAAACTTTCAAAAATTCAATGAAATAATAAATTCAAAATAATCTTATTGTAACAATTCATTATGTTTACAATTCAATATATCTTTCTTTTGACTAAACTTACCTGTTCTGGCTAATTTTTCAAATTCTGACACAGAATATTTCAGAGGTTGTTGATAATTTTCCTCAAAGGAGTATAAAAGTTCTTCCTTAGTATCAATTGTAGAATTTTCTGTTTGTTCTAAACTAAGATCTTCTTCAGACTGTGGAAATTGTTCTTGCAGTTTTGATATTTCACTATGTGAATACTGTTTGTTATTTACATCAGTATTTGAATTTTTTGCATCTATTTCAATGTTTAACGACTTATAATGATTTAAATCTGATGATGTTAAATCAAGTTTATCTTCTATTTGTGTATCTTGTTCATTAATAATCATTTTTTCAGATGAATATTTATTTCCATTATGAACTATTTTTACCCGGAGAATACCACCACGTGGCCAATCTTGATATAGATGATCCAAGCAATTTATTGGCGTTCTAATAAAACAAGTATGAATATATCCTAGCACCAGAAGAGATAATAAAGCCTGCATAAAAGTGATACTATTATTATTTTATTTCAAATTAGAAAATAATATTCTATAAATAATTATCAAAGTTATTAATTAAGTAATTTTAATACAGCAAGCATAACATAATTTATGAATTATTAAAATAAAATTAATCTGATAATTACATTTATACAAATATACAGAGTAGCTCAGAAATCCAGCTTACAGTTATATGTAGATATTCAATTTTAATAATAATAATAATCAATTTTAATTTTTTTCTCTTATGTAGAACAAAACTATATTTTTATTATATTTTATTATTCTATATTTTAATGTATATACATACAAAGGACCAGATTTGTTTGTATGCACATGAGAGTAAGTTTGTTTTTTCTTTAAATGCTTTGTTCTTGATACCTTGATATAAACATGATTTGGATCCAAGTAGATCAAATTAAGGTTTTCTGATACTACATATTTTATACGCATTTTGAAAAATATGTTTAATTTGTTAATTTTAAATATGTTTTAAATATTTGTTAATTTGTTTAAATATGTTATGTTAAATATGTTTGTGATTTTTACTGCATATTTTGCAGATTTGACCATTTTAGGAACTAGACATTGCAAATATCTTTGCTTTCTTTCCATTGTTTACACCAGCAACAGTCCAAAACAGAATTCCTATAAAAGGACTGTCACTGATGTAAACGATGGAAAGAAAGCAAAGATATTCACAGTTTTTATATTTTTTAAAAAATTAAATACTGTTGGCTAAGGTTTTAAATATTTACTTTAAGTGTATAAGTGTTTTTATAACCTTTACAGCTTGTTTGCATGATTGCAAGTGCTATTTTTTTGAAATTATCTATAGTCCATTTCTGCTATCTGTGCAGTGAATTTTTTGTTCATGTACAGTTCACATGAGAAATATCACTCTACCATCAAATTATAGATGATGACATAATATTCAAATGTTTTAAATTTGAACCATTTAACTCACATTCTTTTAAAGTTCCATAAATGAGCACATTTTGCATTGCCATAGAAATCTTTCTTTTTCAAATTTTCAAAACAGTTTGAATGAACTCAATTAAAATTATTGTAAATGTTATATTTATTAATTTAATGACATTAAATTTAAATCTTTCAAAAAAATTTTGTAACATGATGTTTAATTAAATACAGTAATACCTCGACTTATGCTACCCCGACTTATGCGAACCCGGAGTTACGCGATTTTCAAATCTCGTCGATTCGTCTTTTGTTTGAGCGCCACGCAACCCTTGATTACTCACTCCCCCCACACTATTGTTCGGATTACATGTTCGGACACGTTGTGCGGAATCCACACAGAGCTACAATTTATTTTGTGTTATTTATTTCTGTGTTTGTTATATCTACGGAGACTCGAGAGACTCTACTATGTCATCCAAACGAAGTAGAACTAATTCTTCTGCATCAAACAAGAAAAGAAAAACTTTATCTTTGGAATGTAAAGTTAACATTGGGTATGTTCGTAAAGTCGAACGAGTTAAACGAGAATGACGTCATCGTTATTCCTATTTCGTTAGACTTTTCGAACGATTCGTTACTAACGCGTTTAACTCGTTTGACTTTACGAACGTACCCATTATTAAAGACTTCGATACAAAAATGAAAATTTGTGAATTGGCAAAGAAGTTTGATCTACCGGAATCGACAGTGAGAACAATTATAAAAGGTAAAGAAAAAATTCTCGAAGCTGCGAAAAATGCTCAATCTTTAACTTCAAGCATCATTCGTAAACATCACGGTATTATTGCCGAGATGGAAACAATGCTAAATTATGGTGTGATAATCAAGTAAATGTGAAAAATTGTATAATAATATAATTTGTTATACATATGTATTATGTAAGATTTTATAAAACATTTTTTTTCTAAATTATTGTTTTCTTTAGTCTCCGGCCCCAATTAAAAATTTTTTGTATGTATTTATATGGGAAATTATACCCCGACTTACCCGAATTTGACTTACGCGGTTATCGCTCGATCCCACCTATCGCGTAAGTTCGGGGTATTACTGTATAAGGAAGATTTCTTGTTATGTAGTCAAACTTCTGCATATGGAACATGTGCAAAAAAGATTACATTATGTCAAATTTAATTCAACCAAGAATAAAGGATAAAACAGTAAAACATAATGTTGAATTACTAAAAAATATGTACTGGAGTTTGGATCCTAGACATTTAAAACAAATGGAAAAATTCTTAATTATAATGTATGCCACAAATCATTCCTGCTAAAAAATGGTTTCAAGTGCCTCAGCATATTGAAACATCTTTACTTCAACACAACATGAAGCATCAAAACAAGCCAAAACATCAACTGATAGAAGTTTTTGTACAAATAAAATTTCTATTTGTACTAAAACTAACTTTATTAGAGTTCTTCCTAACATTTGGAATGAAACATTATCATCAACTTCAATACTAAATCTATAATTAGTTAATAACTTAATAAGAGCATTTATGCATTTTTTCATCATCTGTACAGTGCTATAAACAAAGATATATAACTACTTTAGACCAGTAATGTAATATAAGATATGAGAAACTAGGCTAGTCATCCTCAAACATCTTGTAAACTTTCAAACACTTTGGGCCATCTATTGAAACATGCTTATCTCCTCTCATCTAAAAAGAATAACCTAATAGACATTAGTAAGATTTGTTTGCAAATAGAAGTAAAGTACATATGCATTTCAACCTACAAATTGTAATATATATTACTGACACTTTTAACATATAGCAATACATACAGTATATCTGGCATTTTTACATGCATATATTGCAATTTGAAAATTCATATAAATCTGGCCCTTGTACATAACTAATCTTAATGATATTTATAGGTTTATATAAACATATACACATGTAATAAAAATTATATTAGTTAATAACTTTTTAATATCTCAAAACTAAGTTTTAGTCAGCTTTTTCAAATAAAAAATATTTATATTTTGAAATTACTTTAATAAAACAGGAAGTACCATATATACTATAATTAACTATACCCACAAGTTTAAATTAACCCACAGGTTCAATTAAACCCACATCCCAGTCACATTAAAAAAAATAAACCCACATATGGATCTACTCAAATCACATTTTTTGAGCTACAGCTTACTATAAACAAATTATTCAAAACAGTAATTGTGTGAATTACAAAAAATAATTCTAAAAATATAACACAAATGACAAAAAACTGTGACAAAATAATTTACACAATTATTGTGTCACATTTCTTGTCATCTGTGTTACTTTTTTAGAATTGTTATTTTTTTATTTTCCTTTAACGATTGATGCTGCCATTCACACAAATAAATACAAAAATTGATTTTAAAAAAATAAGCCCAGATTTGAATAGACCTACAGGCTTGAATAAACCCACACTCGAAGTGGACTGAAAAATAAGATTCACAGTGTAGCTATTTGAGTGCTTATAGTATTATTTTATTTAAGAACTAGCAGATGAGCCCAGCGTTGCTCAGACAAAAAGTAATGATGGCAAAGATTAAGATTATTAGATTATAACCGATATTACCTGTTTTTGCCGAGTGCAAGAATTAGGTTTCCCCCTCTTCTGAGACTAATTATAAAATTTTTAGATATCTGCTTACCACACTGGGATAACGATAATTAAGATTCACTACAACCACTTTTAGTGGTACTACACACTGGTTAGTACCAGTGCATAGTACCACTAAGTGATGAATAATAAGTGTTTTCATAACTCTTTCTGGGTTCTTCTTCAGATTTACTAAATTTGAAAAATAAGCTGGATCTTCTAGAATCATTCATAAATATAAATTCAAACATAAAATTGATCATTACGTCGGAGGTTGAATAAAGCAAACTTATGCACATGCACTCCCCATGTCAACTTTATATATGATTGAACATTAAATATCGTTGAGAATTTTTAGAAAGGTCTAAAAACATGTTCAATTTCCCACATAAATGCAAGAAAGGCATCTAAAATAGTACAGTAGAAGCCAAATTCTTCAGGGTAATCCTTAACCCTTTTCCTCTACCCCATGGTGGAAATTTCAAAAAATTCCTTCTTAATGTGCATTGTCATGACATACCCATTAAAATGCAATGAAAAATACAAAAAACCACATCTAATATAGTATAATAGAAACAGAGTTCTTCACAGTAAGCCTTAATCCTGTCCCTCTCGCTGCAGGGGAAATTTCGAAAAACCCTTCTTAGTGTACATTCTCATGATGTACCCTAACTGTGTACCAAATTTCAACTCCTAATCATTTGGGCTCTGTGCTTATTATTATCATCATTGTCAACCTATCTCAATTATAAGATTTAAATAAAGTTTAAAATTTAATAAATTTTATTAAAAAATCAAATAAAAAGTACACAAAGTACCTTTTAAATAGATTAATAAACATTATTAAAAGGCTAGGTATGACTATATTTTAAAATTCAGCTGACATAAAATGATTACAACTATATAATTCAATAATGGAATTATTTATCAATTTAATTCAGTAATTGATAATTAAACTTTAATTATATTTTTTATAGATGTTTTTAATGAATATGTTCTTAAATTAATTATTAAATACATAAATAAGCTTACCTTTACTAGAATTATAATTTCAAACGTTTTTCGGAAAGACGGTGGAAATGCTCTAGCATAGGCTAAAGATATTCGGACAAACATTGCATGAAATAAACGATCTCTTGCATTTAATATAGGATTCTGATTATTATTGTTATTGTTGTTTCTTGCCCTATTATCAAAGGCAAAATCATCAACTGCAGCTAATATCCTTGGGAGAGCCATATTATTCCAAGACATAATGAAGCATCTAGTTCCAGTATTGTAATTAAATTTCAAAAATGAACTAAATAAATAAAATAAAATTTTTGAAATTAAATAATTATTATTTAAAATAAAAATATAGTTAAAAATTAAGTAAATACTTGTAAAAATGATCTACGCATCATATTTAAACAATTATTAAAAAAAAATCTCAAAATATTAATTTAAAATTTACTTTCAAAGACAAAATTAATTAAATTAAGTATACTTGAACAAGTATACTGATCTAATTTAGAAATATTTGATTCCTTAAAGTTACTATTGATAATTTCAAAATTAAAGAAGAAAATGCAGACAATTATAAAATATAGTTTTGTTTAATTTTCTGCTAAATATTCAGTGTGAAATATTTTATTTATATTTGAAATCTGTAAGAAAATTTGGCTTTCTATGTTTGAGGTTCATGCAGTAAATATTTCCATGCCTAAATTCCAATTTGGTTGTGCATTCAGACCTGAAAAACATCTGTTTAAGATTGAAAATGTTAGTCACTAAATAAAAAATTTTACAACTGGAGATACAAAGGTTTTGTGGACTTTTTTTATTACAGTTAGACCCAGTTCATTTGTATTGCCATAGAATTACTAAATTCTTTACTAGTATGTTTAATATTCAATATATTAGTTTTAGAATGTTTCTTTATTAATTTCATATACACTTTAATTGACTTTCAATTGAAAACTTTTTTATAAAACAAGACATAACTTTAGAACTGAAATGATAAAGCAAATTTTATATAGTCAAGTATAATTTCATAGTCACTAGTACAAAATACAATGAATTTCAAAAGAATATTTCTAGAAAAGAAATCAGGATTTAATGTTAATACAGTATATAATTATACTTAATAAGTGAAATAAAAAAATTTATTCTTACACTATTTTACATTTTGGCTTTGTCTTTTATTTTGAACTCTGAAATAAATAAAAACAATTAATTAATATGTATATTGAAATTCCTAAATTTTAAAATTATTATATTATTGTTTAATTAATCAAAAATCTTTCATATTAATCCATAAATAAAAATTTCTACAAATTATAAAATTTCATCTTGCACTTTTATTTCTTTACATTTAAAGCAGTTTCACCTTATATTTAATGTAAATTTAAATCATATTGATAATCATAATGCTACTTGGATTTCACTAACTTTTAATTCATTTTTATATCCAGTACTAACCACAAATCATAAAGATTCTGCAAATAAACTCATTCATATTACAAAAATATTTAAATTTTCCTAAAACTTTTCGTAATTTCAGAAGCAACTAGTGTGAAGTAATTGCCAAAAAATTATCAATTCTACAATATATTATCGATAGTTCTGTAGCACAGTTCCAAACGGCATGTTATTTCAAAATTTTAGCAGGGTTGGCACAACGCAGGTTAAGCACCTTCCCCAGAATCCTGTCTGCAATCCACAAAAACTTCATCATAAATTTTTCAAGACCTTATGCTTAGTATCATGTGTGTATAGTAAATTAATTGCAGAATATATAGTTAAGAAACTAAACTAAAAAACTATATAAGAAAACTAAAAAATTTAGTTTATCCTAACTATACATTTTAAAGCAAGTTTTGTTGCACTTACAGCTTATAATAAAGTTTTGTTGCATTTAAAGCAAGTATTTGCACTTTATAATAATTTACTATAAAATTTAGTATAATATGTTTACAATGGCCCTGAATTCAGGAGCTTTATTGCTTACATATATCAGAAAAAACTTTTTATTATTCAATCAGTTTATTATTAATGTATGATGTTATGTCTTTCAGGTATTTAATATTTATTAATAATAATCAATATATATATATATGACATATCACATAAGTAAATGGTTGGTATCAAAATTTAATTTTTTGAGACATTATATTCTTGTAAACTCATCAAAAATGTATTTTCTCCTAAACAAATTTTGACTTTTAATTGTGATGAAGGTATTTGAGCAATTAAATATTATTATTTTTTGTCTGAACTGTAAAAATGAATCATCATATGAAAATTCATTTTTAATTAAAAAATTTATAAATTGTTCTAAATAAATAACCAAAATCTTAGCATTCTAAATGTACAGTTAATTTTAATTACTTTTCACTTATAATAATAATACAGATTATTTATTAAACCACTGTTAAAATGATTATAAACATATTACAACACCAAGTTGCTATTTTTTAAATGTTATTAATTAGCTTAGTTAATTTTATCTCTTTTTTTTATTTTTAAAATAAAAAATAGATAACTAATTGTTTATTTACATCATTTTTAAAATTATATTACAAAAGAAAACTTTTGAAAAATACAAACAAAACATTCATGCTAAGTTATCATTTAAATACCTAATAATAGTAATGAATTACCTAATTAATATGCTGTAAAATTATTTACAAAATTATATTACATGCATTGTCGTTGTTTCACTTAATTTAAAAGTAAAATTAATGTATAACACTAATTTATTGTAAATTTAAATAACTAAATCAAAAATAGAAAAGCATATTTGTAATTCAACTAATTAAATAAAATCACTCTTAGATGTTAACTATTACATATTTAAAATAATAACAATACTTGTTCTTATTTGATTTAATATTTTGAATGACCTTACAAAACCATTCTTTTCTAAAATAATTTTTAAAAACAAATATAAACAGTTTTTCAAATAAGTTTTTTTAAGTCAATTAGTAACAATTGAAAACTATATTAAAATAGAAAATAATTTTTAAAATTTAGGCTATGTGCATATTAGACTAGATTATCATCACTCTTTTCTTACTTGTAAAAAAAACTATTAATACAAAATAAAAAAGAAATCTTTATGTTAGTATTTTGTTTGTATAATGAATATTTGTAGAAACTACATGAGATATCTATTCAAAATTTTAGTGAACTGCATCAAAATGAACCAGTGCTTCAGACACAAAATTTTGAAAAAGCAACAATTTAAATTCAAATAAAATTTTGAATAATTTTTTCTTTATTTTCAATATTAATGATCTAAACTGGTGTTTAAATTATACATGATTCTTTAAACTGAAATATATTGAAATTTTTTCAAATAATTAATACTGCTAATTTATATAATTTTCTTTAATTTTTAAAATAAAATCCAAACAAATGTCAAGAAATTTCCTACAATTTCTGAAATTTTTTGGATTTAAAAAAAAAAAAAAAACACATCTCAAAGAATGATATTATCATTCTTTGAGATTTTCTTCAGTTACTTATTAGCTAATAAATCCAAATACAATATAATATGAGAAGTTTTCCAGTAACTACATAACTGTAATGGGAAAATATCACTTCATTAAAAATAATGTATAAAAAAAACTATGTTAGACAGCAGAAGGAAATATGCATACATTTTTTGTTTAATAAATCTAAAAATTTCAATGACATTCATTCCAGGAATATTTAGAAAAAGCAAATGCTGAAATATACCAGCTGTAATGACATTCAGGTTGCTGTTGAAAATAAAAATAGACAGTCATTTTATGCATAACTGGTTTCACTAAGTTTAATTTTAATCTTTATCCTTCAAATGGTTAAAAGCATAAAAAATTATTTAAAAGTTTAATCTAATCTGTCAGAGTTAGTACTGGCTTCAATGTTATTAATTTATTAAACAGACTCTCTTACGTCTGACTATATATTTGTCTAGAAGGTATAAGAATTAAAAAAAAAAAAAACTAAACTCTACACTGCTGAATTGAATAATTAAATACAATATTATTCAAAATATTTGAATATATATTGAAAAAGATTTTGTTTCACTTCAATAATTTTTCTCCACTTACATATTTATTTATTAGTCTGTTACTATAATAAAATAGAAAGGATGATCAAAAACTTTGATAGTGCAATCACATATATGATGTGTAACATGTCAAGAATAAGACAATATAAAACCATGCCATAGCCATGCAATTAGTAAGATATTCATTGTACTCAGAATTGTAAGGACATGTGGTACACATATTAATCACATCATTACTTTCAAATGTATTCAAATCGAACCAATGTGCTGTTGTCCTGGCCATGGAATGAAACTAGTGGACATTTATCACAAAGTGATAAAAGTGTATGGGAGTGAATGTCTGTCCAAAGTCAATACTGTGAAATGATATTCAAATTTCTGTGAAGATCATGACAATGTGCATCCTCATGTTCCTATGTCATCAAGCAGAAGTTGACACTTCTGCTTGATGACATAGAGACCATGGAGTTTCGTGCTACATGAATTTACATCTTCAGTCCTCTAGAAAATCCTTGAAAGGACAAAATGATTCAAACTGGATTAAGATATGATAGGGACTTTATCAGATGTTTTTATGCATCAGTCAACTGACTTCCATCAGACATCTTTAACCTGGTTCATCAATGGGATAAATTGCCTTAATTAATACCAGAGGAGATTTCTTCTAAATGAAATGAACCTAACGGGGCATACAGCCCTTGAACAAAACTTTCAATCAACCCTTACAAAATGATCTATCTAACAAAACTTTAATACATAAAGCTAAACCTTTAAAATCCAGCAAAGATTTTAATAAAGCAAACATTTTCAGCTATTTGTTTTATTTATCAGCAGATATGAATATATATTATTACAAGCATTAAAGTCATGATACAGAATAAATTTAAATTCAACAACAACAAAATAACATTAATAAATTGTAAATACACAAATAAAAAAAAATAATAAATGTAAAAGTTACCTGATAAATAACCTTGATAAGTCACTTGATATGTAAATATAACAAATATGCAACAAAAAAACATAGGATAATTATAAACTTATGATGAAATTGTCCTGCAGGCGTAAACAAACACCAAATTTATTATTGTCATTACTATGAAGTCATATAATCTTAATCACAATCAGATATTAAAGAAACAAAATTTTTAAATTTTTTGATTTTTGAATCAAAGACACCAGATGATGCAGTGGAAAAGGTCAACATATATATTAATTCAACTATGAATTTGATCCTAATTGGAAATGTTTGCTGATCTTAGGACCATCATTGCTTAAATCAGAAAAGTATGTGTATTTCTAATCAATAGTTATGGCTGTTAAGTTGAAATGTTATTTGTAAATTCCTTGCTGGGAATGTCAGTCCAACAGGAACAAACAAACACTCCTGTTATCAAAACCAGACACAATTGATTAAAAAAAATACATCTTTTGCAATATTATTGAGGGAATGTTAAGGTGAATGTCTAGACATTCTCACCTGCAAGACCCCAAATTAGACAGTGTGTGTTGTGTCTATGATTTATGAGATATGCAGGTATCCTTGAATCCATTTTTAAAAGTTTTGATGATTTCCATGTTTAACAAGTGAGCCATGAACTTTAATGATGGATGCTTTCTCTCATAAAGCCATATTATGGTGATAACTTGTTTTTTGTTATATCATATTGATAATATTTTATTCTGTTCTATAGTAGTTGCATTCCCAACTCAAATGTCTCTTTATATGAAAAGAATAGAATAAATTCCTACCTAATTAATTGTTCATATTGTTCTTATTATTTCTAATGAGTTGATATAATGTTGGATTTCTTTTGAATATAATGTATCTTCTCTTATTGATTAAACTCTTATATATGTTTAGAAAGATGTACTATATCTTGTTATTTCTGAAAGCTTTATTAAATTTTAGAGATGCTGATCTAGATGATGGATTTCTATAAGATGTCTATGTTTCTTATTCTTGCAAATTCTTGAATGTGTAGGATGCTGGATAATGAGAGTATGCTTTTCTAATAAGTGCTTTAAAGACAAACATTTTGTATTTAAAAGGGTTTTTAGATATAAGTGGAATATTTCAAATTTCAAATAATTTTTATTAGTAGAAGGCTACTGCCTGTTACAAAGGGAGTTCTACTCATTATCTTTATCTTCAGTATTAT